TTGGTTCTTTTGTCTCCTTTCTCTATTTTATACCTTTCTCTGGATTTTTATCCGAGTCCTGGATGCTTTCTGTAATCTTTCTTTTCCTGAAACCTGGGACGTCTGTGTCTGATGTGGGTTCTTACCATCCTATCAGTCTTACTAGTGTTCTCATTAAACCTCTTTAAAAAATCCGGATTTCCAGACTCCACAGATTTATTGGTGAACATTGTTTGTTGGTGAATACTCAAGCTGGAGTTCGTCCGCATCTTTCTTCCATGGATCAATTTCTGAAATTATCTGACTCTATTACCAATAATTTTAAACACCAATACACCCTCCTGTATGTTTCTATTTAATTTCAAACGTACATTTGACTCTGTGTGGCATCGTAGATTACTCTACAAGTTCTACCTGTTCAATTTTCCTGTTACCTACATCTGTCATATTTCCTTTTTCCTCTATGGTTAATGTGCAGTTAACCTAATTGCTGGGGCTTTCTCTCGTTCCTTCGCTCTTTTTGCTGGTGTTCCCCAAGGCTTTGTTCTCTCCCCTCTCTTGTACATTCTCTTTGTTGCCGATATGCCTCAACCTAAGTTTTCTGTTCAATTGTACCAGTATGCCGATGATACTGTTTTGGTTGCCCATTGTAAGACCATGTCTACACCGAATAAGCTTCTTCTGTCAGCTGTCAATGCATTTTTGGCTTGGTGTCGTCGCTGGCATCTCACCCTCAAGACACCCAAAACACGTGGTATTATTTTTATTCCTACACGACAGAAATGTCACACATGCCTTTACCCATCATTATTTGACTTCCATATTGACAAAATCCCCGTTCAGCCTTAAGTCTCGACAATATAATTCGGTGTCATCTTCGATAAGCATCTTACTTGGAAGACCCAGCTGTCCACTCTCTCTGGTAAGGGCACTTAAATCCACCTCTTCTACTGTATACATACAAGAGTTTCATTCGACCTTGTCTCAAGTACGGTCATACCGCCTGGATTTCTGCTTTTTATTCTCATCTCCTCTTTTTGGAACGCTATGCCCTTTCAATATTCCATTGCCTAATCCCACTCAGGAGTTGTACGACCATATCAGTTTTCTACACATCCTGTTACACCTGAGTCAGTTTCGTACTTCCTTATGTTACCAACTGTTTTCTTTTTCAGAGTGTGATCTAATCTGATGTTATTGCCATCAAAATGCATTCTCCAAGGAAGGTTTTAGCACCTGCTGATCAACTTGTATCATGTCATCTCCACCAGATGATTCCAATCGTGAGGATAGACTTATGTCTCATCTTTCCACTTCTAACTACCCAGTTTCAGAATATACCTGGGCTTCCATGATTGCGACTTCTAAACCTACAAAAAACATAACTCATCACTTAATATTAAAGTAAATAAATAAATCCATTTTACGTTTTCAAGTGTTCCTGGTCCTTTTCTCTTTTCATTTGCTCCACATTTTAGGTCACTATATTTGACCATACCATTTTTTTAACCTCTCAGTTATCATTTCCATCTTTTGGCCTGTGCTGGCCCGCCAGCCCCCTGACCTGGAATGAAATGACATATTAAAAAACAACTTTAAAACATTAAACAAAATACTAACGTTTAGGTTGCGAACCACTTACTTCCTTTTACACGACGAATTCGAAACTCAAAAAAAAGAGCTTGTTTATATTTCAATAGGATTTTAACTGAAACACCAAAATGAAATTCATAATTTCCCTAGCTCATAGCAATTAATCAAAGCACACTAAAATGATCACATTCATAGTTTGTAGGTATCTTGCAAAGAAATAAATTTGCAATATCTGCAGTACTTTTACTTTCAATTGTTCAGTTAAAATGAGACTTCCAACTAAGATACAGCTGACTTCAACTTTCTTCTCTTTCAAAGATAGTACTGTTTACTAGCAATAAATTAAACATGTTATCTTATTTCATTTCCCAGACAAATGATCTTTTGGATATACTTTAAAACCTTAACAGGAAGTATATAATAAACAGAAATAAAAACAATACTTACAGAATGCAGAATATACGTATAAAAATTTTAAGATATAAAAATATTAGTTAGACTAATGACAAGATAAGAAAAATTTTCACATTTCCAGTTGATTACCTTCATAATGCCTTATTCAGAATTATACTCCACGAGAAGAGGAGCTAATACAAAAGGTTTTATCGTGCCCTATAACAAGGAAATATGACTGGTGTCGTATTAAATAAACCGGATTCTTCGAGAAGCTATGTGAGCAACTTTCTCTGCCTCTAAACATTGTAACATCAACATCTCAAGAAGATTTGTTTAAAGTCTTTAATAACATTAGTTTAAACTTTTTACATTTTTGTTTCTCTGTCACAAGAAAAGCGGACTTACAACCCTAGAAACCGGGTTTCGATACCCATGGTGGGCAGAACACAGATAGTCGTCCATTGTGTAGCTTTGTGTTTAACTACAAAAAAAAATACACAACAAAAGAATGAATGTTTGTTTGTTTTTAGTGCAAAGCTATTCACTGGGTTGTCTGTGTTGTGTCCTTGGCAAGGATCGAGCCCTTAATTTTAGTGTTATAAGCCCTAATATTTATTGCTCGGTAACCGGGGGATCAGGAATGAACGAAATATAAATAAATATTGAAATTGCAAAACGTCTTTCTGTATTTCTCCATTAATTTACAATAAGTTAAGGTCATTTGTCCAACAGAAATATTTTCAGACATTATATTATTTGTTGTATTGTTGCATTTCTACCTAAGTTTCCAACCAAAAGAAGATTTGGTGCGAAAACTTTTTCTTTGTCTGCTGAAAATAACAATGTTTTATTGTTTTTTTTTCTAAACTTTCTTTCCATCTTAAGTTGTACACAAAGTTAAAAATAAATTATAACCTGCGCTACGTACACGTTCTGAAAATTTCAGAGTACCTTATTATCAATCAATGTTTAAATTGTATAGGATGGCTAATCGTCGACGTAACAACAGAATGGGTAGTTTACAAAACTACCCAAATATCAGAAGTTTACAGGGTGAATATAAATACAGTGAGGGTGAGAATGATCCTCAGGAGTGAACACGAGAGAATAATACAATTTACAATAACAGTTATTACAAATAGTTATTACCAATAATGAATTATAAACAAAAGTTTCACAAACTTACAAACAACATAAAGTCTTCTTTCTAGTCTGTAACTTATTTTTTATCCTATCGAGGGTTCACGATGAGCTAGTTAATTACGAGTTGATGTAGGTATAATTCGCTTAACAGCGAGCTAGTTAGCCCTGTAGTCTTCACTGTTCATACGCCTATTAGAGATTGAGTTTCCACCGGTGACGTTAGGTAATGTTTTCATAAAAATTTTAATGTGGGATGTGAATTCACTGAAGTTAAATAATTTGTAAAGGTTCCTGGTCAAATACCTGAAGTTTTCCGATTGGTAAGCGTTATAACAATCACAGTTATAGCTTCCGAAGTTTTATAGCACACTGATTAGAGCGAACTAATAATAAATACTATCTTTCTTTCGGCGCGTCGCGTTGCTTATATTTATAACCGTGTGGAGGCTTTCTAGAAATGTCAATTTTACGTAACAATACAAATTTAAGCGTTTACGTACACGCATATATTGTTGATTCTTACCCTTGAGAATCTTCTACAGCTTTGGAGAATAGGCGGGAGTTTCGCAATACATACTTAACTGTATAATCTATACATGTTTTTAAATATAAACTTGGTTGTTTGTTTTGAATTTCGCACAAAGCTACACGAGAGCTATCTGCGCTAGCCGTCCCTAATTTAGCAGTGTAAGACTAGAGGGAAGGCAGCTAGTCATCACCACCCACCGCCAACTCTTGGGCTACTCTTTTACCGACAAATAGTGGGATTGACCGCCACATTATAACACCCCCTGCGTTTATTTGTTAAGTTAGGACAACTGTTAATTCCATAAAACTTTAGAAATTTTAGTGTAAAAATAAAACGTTTCGTGATGAATAAATGGATTAGACTTTGATTGTTTTCCGAATAATCCTAAAAAAAATCTAGCCCAGTAATAGAAACCGTCATGAACTTCTGGATGAAACTGCTTGTGTCTGATAAACAGATTTAAGAAAACTGAATAACGTGAAACGAATTTTGTTAAACTTTCTGTGATTAATCATAACCACACTATAGAACACCTTTGACCTAAATATAAGAATTTGTAATTTCTCTATTCTACTTTTGCGAAAGCCCTGTTTGTATAAACTTAGTTTACAAATCAAATTAAAATATAAATATATGGGATTAATATAAATTTATTAATTTCATCCTTTTATTTCCTAAAGCTACAAAGCACTTTGTTTTTTTATATATACTGCTGCAGTATATATTTGTTGGTTAAAGTATTCTGAAGTACTTTCACCCTAACTGTACCGCCTCCCCCCCCCCCCAGTGACACAGCGGTATGTCTGCGGGCTCACAACGTTAGAATCCGGGTTTCGATACCCGTGATGGGTAGAACACAGATAGCCCTTGTGTAGCTTTGTGCTTAATTACAAACAAACGGCCTCCCAGTGGCACAGCGGTATGTCTGCGGTTTTTACAACGACAGAATCCGGGTTTCGATACCTTTGGTGGATGGAGCACAGATAGCCCATTGTGTAGCTTTGTGCTTAAACTACAAACAAACAATAGTTACGTAACGAAAGGTGCCACTATGTTTTCAACTAAGAACCATGCAAGTGATAAAAATATACAATGTTGATATACAACGCGTCTTAATAATTTTGTATTGTTGAATGAATATATTACTCAGCTTTCGAACTCACACACAAAATAACCGTTTATGTTTTCAAATATTTTCTTTAAATTATTTCTCTATACTTTCATCTTTACTTGATTTACAATAAAACAGCATTTAAATCATGCAAAAATAATTCTGTTTTTTTTGTTGTTTTTTGTTCTATGAAGTAGTTTTTGATATGATCTACTACGTTGATTTTGCCATAATTTATTTTTACAACAGCACTAATGTTGGCTAACAGCGGTTCCAAGAAGTACGACCAACAACAGATCCAGTTACAGACTACTTGAGAATCTGCTGATGACTCATTGAGACGTTGGCAACCTGCCAGAAAACGTGTAGATGAAGGTCAGAAGTCTGTTACCAGGACTCTCGTGTTCGAGGTTTTGTCTGTCACGCTTCGCTTGTGACGACGACAAGTCAATGAAAGCGCGCGAATCGTCTTATGTTCAACTTAGACTACTTGAAGTATATGAGCGTATACCTTTTGTTTTTTAGTTTGTCTGGAAATATTTTGGGTTTAATTACACGAACTGGATTGTAATACACGCAGCAAAATACTAACATAAGTATACAAAATTATTCTAACTCTTATAAAATATTTGGAAGATGAATACATAAAAGGATTATTCAAGTTGACAGTGATAAAATAAAAGCAATTTACTTATTGTGTGCGTTGAAACAGCAACAAACTAATGTCCAAACTGTTGTCTGCAAAGGACCATGTACTGTGACTGAATAACCACATTGTTTACCTATACCTGAGAAATGGCCACTTAAAAACGATTTTCAAGCCATAAAATAGAAGATTGCCACTTAACTGTGATGTTGGCTGAAAAAATGGGCCATTTTTATCATAATTGCGTTTTAAATATATATGTATTTTGATTTGGGAAAGCCGTAACGATGCGTTTATGTTAGAAGGTCCAATGGCACACAGAAATTATGAGCAGGGAGACAATAACCTGAAAAATATATATTCGTGTGTGGCACAAAACGTCAACAGTTTTAAAGCATAATTAGAAATTTAAATAAATAAAACACCAATGTTTTTTTGTTTTTTTTTTCATTTTATCAGTGAAACATCATTCACAAGAGACACCTATGGCTCCGCAGAAATTAAATAAACATCTGACGTTTCGAAACGACCACCTGACTCGCGCATTGAATCATATTTATCGAGTGTCAAAGAGTTATAAGATTACATGAATCTAACACATTTATCTTTGTATTAGCGGCTTAATTCGCTCAAAGAATCAATGATGATTAAAACATCTGTGTTACTCACAAAAATTTAGAACTAATACTGGAACTTTTCAACAGTTTATAAAAATAATTTGAATATACAGATGAGGCAAGTTGTATCGTTTGTTGCACTACACGCTTTTTGTCTTTTTTAAATCTACGGGTACTTAAAACTGTCACAGCATATATATTGTTGTCGATGTCTCTCAAATTGTTATGGTGAATATTAGCTCCAACATACTGTAAGAAGAGCACATAAAACTCTGTACGAAGTTCTACCATTAATATTGTTGTAAACCATATTTTCAATGTTTTAATTATTTTGTTCACTAGAGAGCGAATAAGGTTAAGATCTAGTAAATTCGACTGAGTTTGTTTGTTTTTGAATTTCGCGCAAAGCTACACGAGGG